TCGATTCTCCTCCCAGCCACAGGCCAATGAGAGCGTGGGTATGTGGTGGGAGTCACCCTGCACACAGTGGTCTCAGTGCATTTGAGGAACAGAAGCACGTACAGTTGTGAGAAACTAGTGTGAAAGGTAAAAGCATGAACTGTGGAGCTGAATGCCTGGGTGCAGACGGCAGCTCTGCTGCTCAGCAGCCAAGTTAGTGACGTCCCGGGGCCTCCGTGTCCCCTACTGCAAATGCGGACAGTAAGAACATCCACTTTTGCGGCAATTGTGAGGATTAAATGAGTCAATACGTGTAAAACACTTAGAAGAGTGACTGGCAAGAATTAAGTTTTCAATTAGTTGTTATATATAATTTTAAAAGCAACAGAAAAGAAAACAGAAAGGTCTGGCAATGGAATAACATTGTCATTTATAAAGCACAGTTATAGACGTTCTCGTTAAATCCTCCTGACAAGGTATCATAAATATTCCATTTCACAGAAACTGGTTTGGAAGTTTAGTGATTTGCCCAAGATCTGACAGCTGGTAAGTTGTGGGGCCATAAATAGAAATGTCACCAAGCTTTGTTTTACTGAACCACATGGACTGTAAGTACAGCGACTTCAGGATTCCAGAAAAACAAGGTTCAAGAACACCAGTACCTTTTACTCGTTTCTCCCGAAAGCCAGGCCAGTTTGTTACTGGTTTCTCAGTTAACTCCACTGATCACCATTTATCTGCCTCCCTCGTGGTGGGAAGCAAAGGAAAGAGGCCTGCTGAGCATCGTCGCCCCCAGGCTAGAGCTGGGGCTGCTGACCAGGAGGTGGAGGGTGAGGAAGGGGCACGCTCTTCAATAAATACCAGAGGGACTGCTGTGCATGTAGGAGTCATGAAAACTGAGTGCAATGTGTGGATCTTATTTTCATCCTGATTCAAACAAGCCAATTACTAAAGACAAACAAATAAAAACATCTTTGAGAAAACTGGGAAGAAACTGAATATGGACTGGATATTAGGGGATATCATGAAATCACTGTTCCTTTGTTAAGTGTGATATTGACAATGGTGATTATGTAAAAAAAAAAGTCTGTTAACCCACACAAATATGCCCCACACACAAACTAGTTTTTGACAAAAGTACAACTGTAACTCAATGGAGAAAGGGTAGATTTTCAAGAAAGGTGCTGGATCAACTGGACATCCACGGGCAAAATAATGAACTCAACCTAAACCTCACACCTTACATAAAATTTTACTCAAAATAGATCAAGGACTAAAACGTAAAACATAAATCTATAAAAGTATTAGAAAAAATATAGAAAAAGATCTGCAGGATGCAGGGCTTGGTGAAGAGTTTTTAGACCTGACACTAAAAACACAATCCATAAAAGAAAAAATTCATAAATCGGACTTCATCAAAATTAAAAACTTTTGCCCTGCAAAAGATCCTGTGAAGAAGATGAGAAGACAAGCTACAGAGTAGGAGAAAGTATTTGCAAACCACACAGCTGACAAAGTTCTTGTACCTACAATATATAAAGGAATCTCAAACAAAGAAACAATCCAATTAGAAAATGTGCAAAAGACTCATATGGACATTTCACCGAAGAGGATATACAGGCAGCAAATAAGCACATGAAAAGATGTTCAGCATCTAGCCATTAGGAAAGTGCAAATTAAGATCACAATGAGATATTACCACACACATATCAGAATGGCTAAAATAAAAAAATAATGGTAACACCAAATATTGGTGAGGATGTAGAGAAACTGGATCACTCATACATTGCCAGAAGGAATGCACAATGGTACAGCCAATCTGGAAAAGTTTGTTTGTTTTAAAATTAAAACCTGTAGGGCCGGCTCCGTGGCTTAGCGGTTAAGTGCGCGCGCTCTGATGCTGGCGGCCCGGGTTCGGATCCTGGGCGCGCCCCGAGGCACCACTTCTCCGTCCAACGTGAGGCCGAGTCCCACGTACAGCAACTAGAAGGATGTGAACCTATGACATACAACTATCTACTGGGGCTTTGGGGGGAAAAACTGAATAAATAAAATCTTTAAAATTAAAACCTGTAGTTACCATAGGACCCAGCAATTGCATCCTTTGGCATTTATTGCAGAGAAATGAAAACTTAGGTTTACACAAAAACCTATACACAGATGTTCATAGCTGCTTTATTCATAGCACCCAAAAACTGGAAACAGCCTAGATGTCCCTCGGTACGTGAATGGTTAAACAGACTGGTACATCCATACCACGGAATACGCCTCAGCCACAAAAAGACAGGAACTAGTGATACACACAACATGGATGGTTCTCACTCACTTATGCTGAGAAAAGCCAACCTCAAAAGGTTACAAACTTTGTGATTCTATTTATATAACATTCTGTAAATAAAATGATAGAGACAGAGAACAGAGCAGTGGTTGCTTGGAGTTAGGGAAGGGGAAAAGAGAAGAGGATGTGGTTACAAAGAGAGAGCACGAAGGAGCCTTGTGGTGACAGCAATGTTCTGTATCTTGGTGGTGGTGGTTACACGAATCTACATGTGACAAAATTACATAGAACGACACACACGAAATGGTGAAATCTGAGTAAGTTTTGTGGATGGTACCAGTGTCAATTTTTGATATTGCACTACAGTTATGTGAGACGCTGCTGCTGGGAAAAATTGAGTGAAGGGGACATGGCACCTCCCTGAACATTTTTTTTGCAACATCCTGTGAATCTATAATAATTTGTAAATTAAAAAAAAAAGTATCAGAGATGCAAAATGACATATTTACAGATTAAATGACATAGATCTGAGATTTGCTTTAACAAATACTCCAGGAAGAAAAAGCAACGGAAAAAAAGAAGTGGGAGAAACAGATGAAACCAAATTGAAAAGATGTTAGGGGCTAGACCGGTGGTGCAATGGTTAAGTGCACGAGCTCCGCTTTGGCGGCCTGGGGTTCACAGGTTCGGATCCCGGGTGTGCACTGACGCACCGCTTGTCAGGCCATGCTGTGGTGGTGTCCCATATAAAGTGGAGGAAGATGGGCATGGATGTTAGCCCAGGGCCAATCTTCCTCAGCAAAAAAGAGGAGGATTGGCATGGATCTTAGCTCAGGGCTGATAAAAAAAAAAAAAAAGAAAAGATGTTGGTAAGTGTTGAAGCTTGATGAAGGATTTATAAAGGAAGTATATATACTTTCCTCTTTAATTTTGTGTTTGAAAATTTCCAAAATAAAGTGTTAGACATTCCCAGGAGCTCTTAGTCCAACAGAAGGGCTAAGCCTTACTCTTCTGTCTACAGCCTTATGCTTTGCTGTAACTTTTGAATACAAATTAATTTTTCAAAGCTTATAATTCTGTTTCATTTACAAAGCTTTTATTATGACCTTTTATTAAGAGCTCATAAATCACATTTTTAATCTGGCTCTGTTTACTACTTTTTCCCTCCAAGAATTCCCCCAAAGTTATAAAAAATAAAAATTTATAAATATACATTGAGACTTATGCGGTTTGTACACAACAACAACAGTTGGGTCAATGTTTCAGTGTCTCTCATCCAGAACAGAATGACAGCAGTACAGCCTCTGAAATCTCAACAGCAGAAATGGCGACTCTTTTCCAAATGCCACCTCATCCTTTAGCAAGACAGCATCCAACAGGTGTTCACTTTGCCTGGTAATGGCCAAAGACGACCTACAGAGGGGGCTGGCCCGGTGGCATAGTGGTTAAGTTCACGTGCTCTGCTTTGGCAGCCCGGGGTTCTCAGGTCCTGGCATGGACCTACGCACTGCTTATCAAGCCATGCTGTGGCAGGCGTCCCACATATAAAGTAGAGGAAGATGGGCACAGATGTTAGGCCAGGGCCAGTCTTCCTCAGCAAAAAAGAGGAGGATTGGCAACAGATGTTAGCTCAGGGCTAATCTTCCCCACGAAGAAAAAAAAAAAAATAAGAGGACCTGCAGAGATGCTGACTGGGATGGCTGCTCCCGAGAGCAGTGTGAACAGCAAGCCGGGAAGATTTCAGTCCTGCATCTGCCATGGCTCAAACCTGGGACTGTATTTAAACTCAACAGGCCAACAATCACCAAGAGCCAAATCGCAAATTCCCGAGGGGTCAGCACAGGCTCAATCTGACTGCTTTCAACTGGACGAGTTTCAGGTCACTACCAACCTGAACAACTCTTATTTGGTGCAGAGTTGGGGAATCCAATTATCTCACTAGCATCCCCTCTTCAGTTACTGACAGGCAGCTCCTTCCTTTCAGGCGGTGAGCCCTAGAGAACAGTGAGGCCAGAGAAACGTGGAGCCTCCTGTCTAGTCACCAAGTTTTTCGAGTTTTCAAATTCACCAACATGGAAGATTAGGAAATGACTGTGGAGGCCGAGTATAAGGAGGTTCAATATGGACCTTAGGATGCTAACCTGAGGAACTCCCTGTTTATCCTGTGTTAACCTCCAGGTATTGCTGGCATGTTTCTTCCTTGGACTTGGTTTTAAAATCTCTTCCTTTGGAGACCAGCCAAAGTGTATCAGCTTGCTCTGCCCGCATCTTCCTTAAACACTTGTTTTTTGGTTTGTAGGGTACATCAAGGATGAAGTCTTCTTTCTCCAGGAGGCAAAGAGGCTGAACAGATTCAGACCTGCTTCTGGAAGACACCTTGGCTTGCCTGCAGGTTCCTCTCAGCCCACTTCCACCATAGGGTGAGAACAGAGCCTTCCCTCTATGCCAGCCTTCCAGTAGACTGGTCAGGTCTCTGATTTCAGAATACAAGGCCAAGCCCAGCTCTCAAAATCTCATCCCCCCACCACCCCATCAAATTCTTTTCCTGTTGTTTAAAATCAATGATTCCTCTATAAAGTCGCAGCATAATATATCCACTGATCCAGGTTCTTGTCAGAGAAAACCTCTTTTCCCATGAGGGGCAGGACTTGGTGGATCCCCAGCACACATCCCACCGAGGGACTAGAAGTGACAAATCTCTCAGGAGAGTGTTCCTGCTTTAGGGAGCTGTCATCGAATGCTGACGAGAGAAGCAGTGCTGCCCTTATACCTCATTCTCCTCCACACTAACGTCTCTGCTCCCGCCTCCTGACCCTGCCAGCCCCAGGTCCAGGCTGCGATGTGTGGGCCTCCTGTTTCCAACGTGATGAGGGAGGGCAAAGCCACCTTCCATCAGCTCAACAGGGCACATGGAGCCCACGTGAGGAGAGAAATAAGAATGAGGTTCTAGGATGATAAATTGGTGCCACAAATTATTTCCGAGTCAATAAAAGGGGTCTAGATATCCTGAAAAAAAAAAACCAGGCAAACAGTCTTTCTGGCAGTAAGCAAAGCAGGCACCGAATCCTTTCTTTCTACCACCTTCTCTGGTCTTCTAGGTTTCCAAGGAATCAAGTCCTGTGATAGTAGATGAAGTCACCAGCTGCTCCTACACCCCATAGCATGGCCTGGTTGATTAAGAAAGCCTCGTTGTTACCATCACATCTCCCTCAACCCAAACATCCAGTGGAAACAGGTAATCTTCATATGGAGTTTGCTGTTAGAATCATGCCCAGTTGCATCCTGGCAGCCTCAGCACGACCACGAGGAGGCCACCCTCTCTGCTTCCCTTGAGTGGCTGTAACTCCCCAAGGAGCGTGGTGTCCATGTCCCTGTACAAGGCAGGCTTCCTTCTCAGCTCACGAGAGGGACCTAGAAAGAAGAGGAATCCATGGAGCCTGCCTGGTGGAGGCCCCAACTGCTCTCCTTCTAGGGGGGAACAACTCCAGGGCTGTGAGGGTTGGTCTCTGGGCTACAGGACCTCAACCTCTATAGAACAAGAAGTACATATGGGAGACAAGTAAGGAGAAGAGAAGGGAAAATATTTCCTCTCACCAGAGTAGCTCTCCCCAAGGTGCACACCCACTGGTGAGCCTCTCTTTTCCGCCAAGGAGCAGAGGAGACCACCTCGATTGGCCGGAGAAGACTCGGCACCCCAGCCTCCAACTCACTTCTTCCTGCGGATCTTGGGTTTCTTCACGGGTCGCAGATAGGGGTTATCAATGATGTTCTCCTCCCCGTTCCGGCTCCCCGACAAGGAGGGGTTCTGCTGCAGGACAGAGGTGTTCTCCTTCTCGGCTCCAGAATCATCCTTTGAGCAAAAGCCGAAATAAAGCAAAAACACCAACGGCATAAGGAAAGAGATCACGCTCATAATAAGGATTACGATTAGCATCCCTTTCATCGAGAAATTAGAAGCCCAGGGACCACCTTCTTTGCAACGTGCCTATCTCTGCCCCAGCAACGTGCCTATCTCTGCCCCAGACGAAATGAGGCCCAGGCAGTGGCTGGCTATCAGAGGAAGGTGAGACCAACAGCTTTGACACAGTGGGGCACAGAACACACAAACCTCGAGCCTCTTGAGAAGGCAGGGACATGAGTTAGAAAGGATAGAGACCTGGTAGGGGCAGGGAGTCAGCGGCTAAAATTTAGATGCTTTTGGGAGGAAGCCCAGCCTGTAGGGTGATAAAGGTAAAGAGAAGTGACCCTTGATGGCTTGCAGGATGGAGATACAGGGACAGAACAAATTATGTGCACAGGGCATCTCCTGGACTGAAGCTAACGTGAATCATAATAGATTTCCCCCCAGTTCTCAAATATCTGGTACTTGCAACATGGTACCAATGATCATATTGCAGTGGAGGTCAGAAACTTCTTGAGCCCTGAGGGTTCCCACCACAGCAAAGCAGAGCACGCAGGGGCCAACACAGGAACACCATCGATATCCCCACCTGCAACCTGTGATCAGGTCTTTCACTGTTTGTTTTTTGAGGAAAGTGATTTTGGAGAAAAGTCTAAGTTTACATATATTCAATATGCCAATTAAAAAAATTTTTTAATCACAATTGTGTGTAGACATAGGAAAAATAAATACGTTGAAATTTTAAAAACTGGTTCTGGGAATATGGGTGACTGATTCTCCTTCCCTTATTTCTACTTTCTTCTGTTTTCCAAGTTCTTTAAATGAGCAGAAACTGGCAGGGAAGGGGGCAAAAATCACATGAAGAACTTGACCTAGAAGCTCAGGCCTAAGTGAGTATAAGTGACCAGAAGAAGCTGGCTGGGATGCGCCCTCTGGTGACAAGTCCAGGGTTCTGTCACTGAGATTCCTATTCTGTAACTTGAGGCCAAAGAGGACCTGATCTCAACCAGGAGATTCTGTCAAGACAGCAGGTCAGAGGATGCTGTGATCAGAAGCCACGAAATGAACAGCACATTCTCCACAGAGACCGCTGGCCTAGGATGCAGACACCACTCTCAGGCTTAATGAACCTGAAGAAACTGGATCACTTCCAGGTTCCACTACACACCCTCTCACTGTCCCATCAATTCTGTTCTCCCTGGAGACCCAGTTCCATCCAGGGTCCCTGTGCTTTCCAGATCCAACACCTGAGCTGGTGGGACCACAAGGCACCCTAGAGCCACTGTGGACTTTCTGGAGGCTCTCCTGAAAGAGGATGCCCCAAGATCAACCTAGCTCATGCCAGACACAAGGTCTGACCACAACCAGACCTGCGTTGGATAGCTGGATCCCAACGTTCCTAAAGTTCTTTTTTTTTTTTTTTGTGAGGAAGATCAGCCCTGAGCTAACATCCATGCTAATCCTCCTCTTTTTGCTGAGGAAGACTGGCTCTGAGCTAACAGCTGTTGTCAATCCTCCTCCTTTTTTTTTTTCTCTCCCCCAAAGCCCCAGTAGATAGTTGTATGTGATACTTGCACATCCTTCTAGTTGCTGTACGTGGGACGCGGCCTCAGCATGCCTGGACAAGCGGCGCGTCAGTGCGCGCCCGGGATCCAAACCCGGGCCGCTGGTAGCGGAGAGCACGCACTTAACCGCTAAGCCACGGGGCTGGCCCGTTCCTAAAGTTCTTGATGGCTTGATTTAGTAACTCACCCCACCTCCCTCCTATAATTTCTCTACAGTAAACGCTCCATCCTTAAAGTTAGTAAAAGCTCACTTCAGCTGTGCCTTAAGTGTTTTCTGAGATAAGGATGGAGGTGACACGGTCAGGAGTGCTGAAAAGCCCTCCTGGGACCAGTGCTGAAGGGCACTGAGGCTCCCTCCATTCGGTCACTGTCTCATAAGGCCAGGATGCGGGACCTGAGTGAGGGACAACAGCTTCTCTTCTTCCAAGTAGAGCTTCTGGAAATGCCCCTTCAGGGATAGGCAGCCTTGAGAGGGGGAGGGATAGGAGGAGTAGATAAGGGAAGTAAAGTACCAAACTGACAGAGATTTGTAAAAAAAACAGGTGGGAGCAAAAAGGTCTGTCCGGAGCTCCTCGAGCCTGGCAAGGCCAGATGCAGCAACGCATGTGAGCTGAAACGGACCCCAGGCACCTGGGGTGACCACATGCAGCCTCACTGCTTTCAATACCGTTTCCATGCCCGCAATTGCCACATGTACCTCTCCAGCCCTCACCTCTCCTGACCCCCAGGCTCACAGAGCCAAGTGCTCACTCAACATCTCCACTCGGGTGTCACGTAGGCGTCTCAAACTTAATGTGTCTGGAACAGAACTCTAGACCTTCCCTATGTGTAAACAGCTCTTCCCACAGTCCTCCCTGTCACAGGTGACGGCAACTCCATCCTTCCTGTTGTTCAAGGCAGAAATTCCACAGTCATTTTTGCTCCTTTTCTTTCTTTGACATCTCACGTCCAATCTGTCAGGAAAACTTGGCCTTATCTTCAAAATACAGGCAGAGTCTGAATACTTCCACCGTCTCTGCTGTGACTACCCCGGTAGGACCCACCATTGTCTCTCGCCCTGACTACTGCAGCAGCTTCCTAACTGCCCTCCCTCCACAGTCCATTCTCATCGCAGCCGTCAGCGATCCTTGAAGAGGCTCAGATACGTCCCTCTTCTGCTCCACGCCCTCCCACGACTCCCGTCTCACCCAGCTAAGAGCCAGTCCTTAAAACTGCCTACCAGGCTCTACCGATCTGACCCCTCCCTCTCTCTCCCTGCTTCCCTCAGCCACAGCTACATTCACCTCTGTGCTGTTCCTCGGGGCCTTTGCACCAGCTGTTCCCTTTCCAGAATACTCTTCCCCAGATATCCACAAGGCTCACTTCCTCACCTCCTTCCAGTCTCTGCTCACATGTCACCTTCTCAGTGATGTTTACCCTGAACTTATTTAAAACTGAAAACTCCATGCTGTACCTTCCCAAACTCGCTTCCCACCCCCAACAGTACTTTCATCTCAATATACCATATAATGAATTATTTATAGATTACATTTATTGTTGTTCCCCCACTGCCAATATCTAGGCTCCCAAAAGGCAGCTGTTTTCTTTGTTCAAGCACCCAGAACATTATCTGGCATAGACCAGGTACTTAATAAATACTTGTTGAGTAAACGAATGGTACATTGCTCATAAAAGAGTAAAAGTTTAGACACTGGGGTCACCTGCAGAAGGCAGCTAGCTCAAATGGATGAGAAAAAAATTCTATTATACACTAATTTAAAATGAATAGTCCCTTTATGTTCAAGTAGCTGGAGAAACTAGAACCAGATTAAACAGAGTAACTACCCTAGCAATAGTCCTTGACAGGCGTGCTGTCATCTATAGATAACAGAGTAACTTAAAATAGCAGCTATTTAATTCATTATAACAATGTCTGTAAATGCTAAAGATAAAAAACCACCTAAATGTCCCCAGGGGACTGGTTAAATTCAATTGTTACATCCATACAATGGAATTCAAGGAAGCTGTGAGGCATGAAGACGAGCTCCTTATATCCAGATATGGAATGATCGCCAAGATACATCAATAAGGGAAAAAAGCAAGGGGAAAACCATTTGTGATTTGCTGTTTGTGTTCAAAACAGTAAAAAACAATGTCTCTAGAAGACACACAAGAGACTGGTGACACTGGTTGCTTTGTAGGAGGGAAAGTGGATGACAGGGAACAAGGATGAGAGAAGACTCGTCACCACACATCTTTTTGTACATTCTGAAGTTTGAAACATATGATTATATTTGCCAGTCCAACAAAACAACATTAACAAGTCCAGTTGATTGTATATAAGTTGTTACTAGAATCCTTTTCTCAAAGTCTTTCTATTTATTAATTTTTTTACAGAAGAGCATCTGGTTGTACAGCCTAAAACAGCAGGGGCGGGAACAAGGGGTGCGGTGAGCTGCCATATGCCGGGCACCTGTATGTATCAGCTCATTTTATTTCAGGCTCCTCGCTTCCCATCGAGGTAGGTGTTCTTATTCCTATTTGTACTTGTGAGGTAACAGACTCAGATGTTAGATAATGCAACCAAAGTCACATGATCTGGAAAGTATCTGAGTCCAGATTTGAAGGCAGCCTAGTCTGACTCCGAGGGTCAGGTGTTTCTACTCTCTGCTGTCTGGTTTGGCGTCCCAGTATCCAGGAATCCTCGGGCAGCTCCTGGCATTCTTTCAGCCTCAGTCCACTCACCGCCATGACCTCAGCTATGCCATTACCTGGAGTGTCAGATAACATATCTGCAAGCCCTTTAACTATTTTGTACTTACAAAGGGATGGTGATGTTTGTTTAGAAGAGTCCTCCTTCTCACAAGGTGAACCTCATCTTAGTCCATGACCCAATCACCATATCTCAGACCAAATTAACTGAGTCCAAAACAGAAGTGCAGAATAACAAGTTCCTCTGCTTTATGGAAAGCCATGGGCTCCCAGCCCTAATTCTGAAAGGAACAATTCAACATTAAAGAAAGGTGTGTTCAAGCAAGGAAGACCTTGAGCAAACATTAGAGACAGCACTGGTGCTCTCCACCTGCATACTGGGGCTGCTGGCTGCCATCTGGTGCGTCGCCCGTTAGAGAACAGGAGGAACGCATCGCCCCTTAAAGAACAGGTCCAACTACAACCACTAAGGCATCCTTTGCTTAAAAGCCAGGGCCAATCTTAAAGGATGGCTGAATATGATAACCTGACTATAAGGGTCCCGTAAGCCTTAAAGGCATCAGAGCCTCCAGGAGGTCTGTGACTCTACTTGGCACTTTCTCCCAAGATGCAGGATCAAGAGTAGGGTCTTAGTCTTTTACTCGCCAAGAACACCACATTGATAACAAAAAAGAACATCCGCAAGTTCCAACAAGCAGTCTCCCCCACCTTTGTCTCTGTGCCCCCACACTCTACCTCCTATCCTGGGTATGAAATGTCCATAAGGCTAACCTCCCATCTGGGCACTAGCTCCCGTGCCCTCTCACCTTCCAAAGCACATAATTTCCAAAACGATTCCTTCTCTCCTGCATCAATTTTCCCTCTCTACCAGATCATTCCCACCAGCATACAAACATCCTGTTATTCCTTTTATCTTAAAAAACAAACAAAAAGAGGGCCGGCCCTATGGCTTAGCGGTTAAGTGCGCACACTCCACTGCTGGCGGCCCGGGTTCAGATCCCGGGCCCGCACCGACGCACCGCTTGTCCGGCCATGCTGAGGCCGTGTCCCACATACAGCAACTAGAAGGATGTGCAGCTATGACATACAACTATCTAGTGGGGCTTTGGGTGAAAAGAAAAGAAAAGAAAAAATAAAAACACCTCTCTTAACTCCTCAATTTTCCCCCTCTAGTTACCACTCTATTGTCTCTCCTTTTACAGCAAAATTTCTTGAAACAATTGTCTATATAAGCACTGTCCAATGGAAATCTCTGCAATATGTTCATATCTGCACTGCCCAGGATGGTAGCCACTAGCCATACATGGCTATTGGACCCCTGATATGTGGTTAGTGTGACTAAAGAACTGAGTTTTTAGTTTTATTTAAGTTTAATTAAGTTACATTTAAATAGCCACATGTGGTGAGTGGCTACCATAATGGAGAGCTAAGTCTCTACTCACTGACTACAATTTCTCTTCTCCCATCACTCTGAATTCACTCCAGGCCCTTGGTCTTATGCTTACTGAAATTGCCCTTGTCAAGGTCACAAATTACATTCAGATGCCAAATCGAACAGACAGATTCTCAGTCCTCACATTATGGAACTAACTGCAGCTTTTGACATGGCTGATCACTCTTTTCTCCCTGAAACACTTCCTTTCCTTGGCCTCCAGGACAGCACACCCTCCCAGTTCTCCCACCTCTCCGGCTGTGCCTTCTCCATCTCCGTGGCTGGATCCTCCTCACCTCCTCACCCTCTGACCAGTGCAGGGCCCTAGGGCTCAATCCCTGCCCCCTTTTCTCTTTTATCCTCACTGGTTCCCTAGGAGAGCTCCCCTAGTTTTGTGGTGTTAAACACTATCCACACACCGATGACTCCCAAGTTTGCATCTCTAGCCCTAACAGCTCCTCAGACTCCAACTCCTATATCTATCTCTCTACCTGACTTCACCACCTGCCTGTCTGAGAAGCATCTCATAGCTCACCTCATCTAAACCTGAGCTCCTGCCTTTCCCTCATACACCTGTTCCACCAACTGCCTTCTCTATCTTGGCTGAAGGCAATTCCATCTATCCCGTTGCTCAGGCAAAAAACCTTGCATTTATCTTTGACTCTCTTTCTCTCACATCCATTCCATCAGTTGGCTCTGCTCTGAAAATAATCTAGAATTTGATCAAATAATATATCTGACCATGTCTCATTATCTTGATTTCTACCACCATCTCAGTTTACAGCAACAGCCTCTTAACTGGTCTCTCTGCGTTTGCCCTTACCCTCTATAGTCTACTCTCAACACAGCAACCTGACTGATCCTGTTCACAAACCTACACCAGATCCTGACCCTCCCTGCTCAGCATTTCCAATGGCTCCCATCTTCCCGAGAAAAAGCTCAGGTGTTTAATACAGCCTTTAAGATCTGACTCCCCCAGGAGCTCTCTGACCTCAGCTCCTGCTTCTCTCCCCCTTGTTCACAGCCTTGTTGTTCTTCTTCTTTTTAATTGCAGCAACATTGGTTTATAATGCTTTTTATTCTTTAACACAACAGTTCCCACCTCAGGGCCTTTGCATCTGCTGTTCCCGCTGCAAGGAATGCTCAACTCCCAGATATGTGCAAGCCTTGTTCCCTTCAGGTCTTTACTCAAATGTCATCTTCTCAGTCACTCTATCTAATATCACATCCCCCCATGCCCATACTTACTTCCTATTTCCTAATTTATTATTTTTCCTTAGCTCACGAGGGCAGGAAATTTTGTCTATTTTGTCTCCTACTAATTCCCTGGCACCTGGAACTGTGCCTGGCTCTGGCAGGCACTCATTCAATGTTTGTTGAATGAATGGATGAATCTCTGGGACATGGACTTCTCTCTCAAGCTGGAGATCATGTCACACTGGGATCATTACAAACCCATCATGCAAGCCCCTAACATAAAGTCAGAGACCTGAGGTAGGTCATGTCCAATTCCCAGGGTGACAGGCTGCAGGCAGTATGGGCTAGTTTTGGGGGTTCTCTGAAACAGACAGAAGGCAGGACCCACCGTGCTGATATGAAGAGGGAGGTTCTCGGTGTCCGTCTGCTCATCCTGCTCCGAGGAATCCGTCTCCTCCATTTGCTGCATCTCCAGCTCAGACGGCAGAAGAGCTGTCAGGTAGGGGATGGTGAAAGGTCTGGCAGCAATCACTGGGGAATTGGAAGAGAGGCACGGTTTTGCTGTCATGGCGTCCTTGCAGCTGGCCTGGAGCCTTCCAAGAGATCAGTGAGCAGCACCAAGAGACAGTAATGGCAACACACTCCGAGCACTTACCATGGGCCATGCCATTTCCCTCTGGCTTTACGTGTTATCTTTAACCCTCGCCTCCACCCTATTAAGTAAGTACAATTACCAACCCCATTTTACAGATGAGGAACTTGAGGCATGGAGAGGTTAAGTGACTTCCTCAGGCACACAGAAAGTGGCAGAGCAGGATCTGAACTTGGGCAATATGACTTCAGATACACTTCTACCAAGTGCAACTGAAATCAGACAGAACTGGGGCTGAATCCTAGCAAAACATGAGCTTAGTGATCTTGTACCCAGGGCCAGTTAACCCCTCTAGTCCCATTTCTAGAGCGGGCATATTGATCCCTTCAGCCTGAAGGACTCAAGTACAAATACTGGACTTGAGAACTCTCCGTGTAAGTATATTCACTGAGCCAGAGGGCACTTCAGGGAAATGAGCATTCCAGTTCTTCCAAAAAGCATTGAGGATGAGAAGAAATTATTGATTAAAAAAATTAAAAGAAAATCTCCATGTATACTTCTGATTCTGGTAGAATGTGATTATCAGGAGACACTGTAAGACTATTTTTAATGTGGCTCAGACGTGGGGTCCTGCAGTCAGAAAGAGCTAGGTTTGAATGCCACCTCCTCACTGTGTAACCTCAGGCAAGTTACTTCATTTCTCTTCTCTATAAGCCTTGGCCTCCTATAATGGTGGTGACAACAGCTCCTAATACAGGCTCGCGAGAAGATTTAGTGAGATAGTGTATGGGAAATGATTAGCACGGTGTCTGGCCCTTAATAATTCTTAGCTGCTATTATTCCAGGGCCAGACACAGTGAGCATTCAATAGGAGCTTAATGACTGAACCACCCAAACCAAACTCCCTCGTTCACCTCCGGAGAAACTGAGGCCTGTGGAAATGAAGCAACTTGATCACATGGCCAAATGGTGGTGCTGAGATGAGAAATTAATGAGATGGTACCCGAGAGAGGACATCGGGAAGGGCAAAGTCTGGCAGATGTTCTGTAACTGCCCTGTCCCCTGATGCCAGTGTCCCTTCTGCTACCGGGGCTGCCACTTCCACTGTACGAGTCTCTCTGATGCCCAGGGCTCACTCACCCTTGAGGTAATCTACACTCACTGTACCTCAAGCAGCCAATCCCTACAGAGGCCATTACTGTTTTGGAGTCATCAGTTAGGGACAGGCCCTTAAGACTTGGGAAAAGGAGCCAGAAGTCTGAAGAACAAGCTAAAACCCAAGACAAGGACGAAGCTTATTCGTCCCTTCCTACCATGCTGAGAGAAAGGGAAGACGGTGTGACTATCTCAAATGACAAGACAGGGTCCACAGAGGGGAGGGACTCTCACGTGGGAACGTGCTGACGTCATCTTTGAAGAGACTCTGGGTCTCGCCTGTCTTGGCCATGAAGCGGGTGAGTGCGCGCTCCACGTCTCGTCTCTGGGATGCAGCCTTCTCCCGCAGGACCTGGTAGTCTGACACAGGCTCGCGGTACGTCTGAAAAGAGAACAGCAAAGACACTAGAGTAAGGCCTACAGATCGCCGTGCTCTCCTCAGGTCCCTGCCTTGCTGTTGCTACGTCCTTCCACCCTTCTGTGGATTGTATGCCTTGTTTTCTTAAACCAACCCTCACAAAATGGACATGTTGTCACAAAAGATTCTCTCAAAGAAACATAGACTGAAGATAATAAGTGCAAGCGAACAAGAAAATGGCAGGCCTGACACTCCTCCTGTATTATGAGCTCTTTGGCAATCACATCAATAGAGAGAAAAACAATCAAGAGCTAATCAGGATGAGAAGTTGGTCAAAACATTTTAAACTGAAATGATAAAGGTGACATTTTAATAATGACCAAAAAAGTAAATACTCTTCATGATATGGAGATAGGATTTTTTTTTTTTTTTTTTTGCTGAGGAACATTTGCCCTGAGCTAACATCCACTGCCAATATTCTTCTTTTTGTATGTGAGCCGCCACCACAGCATGGCCACTGACAGACGAGTGGTGTGGCTCTGCACCTGGGAACCGAACGAACCCAGGCTGCCGAAGCGCAGCATGCCAAACTTAACTGCTAGGCCACTAGGGCTGGCTCATGAACCTTTAATAAGGGTCAGATTATCTTTTAATGTACATTATTTTAGTATAATGTTACATTATAATATTCATGTAAATACGCAAACAAATATCGGAATATGTGCTTAATATTTTTACTGACAGAGATACACTATAAAAGAGTCAGAGACTGTAGTGGGTTAAATTGCATCCCTGGGCCGGCCCGGTGGTGTAGTGGTTAAGTGCGCACGCTGCGCTGCAGCAGCCCAGGTTTCAGATCCCAGGCGCGCACCGATGCACCACTTGTCAAGCCATGCTGTGGCGGCGTCCCATATAAAGTAGAGGAAGATGGGCATAGATGTTAGCCCAGGGCCAGTCTTCCTCAGCAAAAAGAGGAAGATTGGCATGGATGTTAGCTCAGAGCTGATCTTCCTCACAAAAAATAAAAATAAAAAAATAAATAAATAAATAAATAAAATTGCATCCCCTAAAAAAGACACGTTGAAGTCCTAACCCCCAGTATTTCACAATATGATCTTTTCTGGAAATAAGGTCATTGTAAGATATAATCAGTTAACATGGGATCATACTGGAGTAGGGTGGCATTAATCCAATATGACTGGTGCCCTTATAAGAAAATGGCTGTGTGAAAACAGAGATACAGAGACAAATGCCATGTGAAGTCAGAAGACTAGAGTGATGTGTCTACAAGCCAAGGAATGCCACAGACACCAAAAAACCACCCAAGGCTGGGAAGAGGCAAGGAAGGATTCTACTACAGGTTTCAGAGGGAGCCTGCCAACACCCTGATGTTGGCATCTAGCTTCTGGAACTATAAGACAATACATTTCTGTTGTGCTAAGCCACCTACTTTGTGGCACTGTGCTACAGCAGCCCTAGGACACTAATACAGAGTCTACTGGCCAAGGGCAATGGCTGTGTTGCAATGGGGGGGTGACCATCTATTCCTCCCCCCGTATCCTGAGGTGTGGAGAAATGTCCTGAAGGACTTGCCCCAACAACTCGCATGATGGCCATATTTGCACTAGCACACGGTGTGAAGCCAGCCCTGGTGCTGTAGTGGTTAAGACTCAGTGTTCTCACCGCCACAGCCCGGGCTTGTTTCCTGGTCAGGGAACCACACCACCCATCTGTCGGTTGTCATACTGTGGCAGCTGCATGTTACTGTGATGCTGAAAGCTATGCCACCAGTATTTCAAATACCAGCAGGGTCACCCATGGTGGACAAGTTTCAGCGGAGCTTCCAGACGAGGAAGAAGGACCTGGCCACCCACTTCTGAAAAAACTGGCCATGAAAACCCTGTGAATAGCAGCAGAGCATCGTCTGATACAGCACCGGAAGGTGAGAGGATGGCGCAAAAAGACTGGGTAGGGTTCTGCTCTGCTGTACACAGGGTCCCTAGGAGTCGGAATCGACTCAACGGCACTAAGAACAAAAACACGATGTGCAGGTGGGGACAAAGCAAGCATGTGGAAGAGCCTCTGTGGACTCCTCTGCACACCGCACCTTCCCAAGGGAAGGTGAACCTGCTAGGCCGGCAAATGAAAACACATTCGAACCACAGAGGACAACTCGACGTGTCTTCATGTGGACCTAGAACTCAGAGTTATGAAAAGTTCCATTTTATGATATTACCATGATATTACCATTCATGATAAATAAAAGGTTATTTAAAACATATAACCTTTTCCCCCTGATTTAAAAAATAACCCTTTTCTATTATGGAAAATTTGGAAAATCCATAAAAGCACACACAAAACAACACAAGTTACCTATAATCCCACCAAGATTTACTACAAACATTTTGTGGAATGTGTCTTTTCTCTAGGTGGCTAGGTATGTTTGTGTTTGGGTGGGACAGGCAAAATCGCGCGGGCTTCAATTTCTTTGTTAACTATACTTTTGTCAGCAAACTGGAGAACATAATTCTCCTTTGCCAAATTGTTTTTCAATGAGGAAAGACATTCTGAGTTCTGAACTACCCTTTTACCAACCAACTTTTGGAATCTAGTCTGATAGTAGGAAATGACTCTGCTTTTGCATCTGTCATAGCCCCCACCATGGCCTCATCACTCACCGGAGTTTTGATGTAGGTGTGGGGGTCGGGGAACTCAGGAAAATGGCTGGGGATGTGCGGCGGGTGGGGTCGGTTCTGTCCTGCCGTGAGGGCCTTGGGGGTTACTGGCTGATTGGTCACTGGAGCTGCAACAGAGTCACAACTGGTTACTCCTCTACCCAAGGCCTTGAGTCTCTCCCAAACCCTCCTTTTCTCAAAGTGAATGCTAGACCTCAGCGTTCTGTACAACAGGCACCTTGTACTTCTATCAGTAAAAGGCCTTTAATGGCCTGAAGACCTGAGACGGTCACCTCCACAATGCCCAGCCCTGCTGGATGACCTGGGGTGACACTCCCATCTACAACAATCTGCCTGCATGCCTCTCAGGCAGGTGAGTAGGTGGCTGCGACAAGTTAACTACACGAAAGAGCAGGCTGAGGCACTAAGGAAGGTGGGTGGGCTACTAACTCTCTTTTCATAGAACCCAGATAACAAAGACATACCCTGAGCCAGGTAAGTAAGTGTGGGCTAATGACAGCAACAGGGGATTGAGAATGGCACCTTCTTCTGCTACTCCAAAGCCCAAACTAGTTATACCCAACTCGGTTTAAGGCACTTAGTTTATCTAAGGGAGAGGTCATCAAACTTTTTGTGTAAAGGGACAGAGAATAAATATTTCAGGTTTTTCAAGCCACATAGTCTGTCACAATTACTCAACTCTGCCATTATAGCATGAAAGCAACCACAGATAATAGTAAACATGGCTGTGTTCCAATAAAACTTTATTTACAAAAACAAGCAGTGGGCCACATTAGGCCTATAGGCCTTAGTTTACTGATCCTTGATCTAAGGAAGAATAAGAACTTTTGCATGTTTCAAGGAGCATCAATTGCTCTTCTGGGGCTGATGCAAAAGAATCACAGCAACAGCTCACAGATGGTTTACTTTTTAGTGACTGAACTTCACATCCTAATCCTATGAGCCCAAATAAAGGTTATATTATAAGTAGCCCCAAATAATGGAAGGAAGCCTGCAACAAGGAAGTAGCTACAAACCAATCCCTGCCCTATTCAATTAGTTCATTCCCCAAGCATTAATTGAGTGCTTGCTGAGTATCTCAATTCAAAGTCACTTACGGGCAGTGATGACCATCCTCTGAGACCGTTTTGCATAAGCAGGGAGAGTGTCCACATTGAAACCTAAGAAACAGGGAAACAAAAATCACTGCTCAGACTACTGTATATTGAACATGAAGGGGGAGTAATACTGTGGTGAAATAGCTTAAACTCCTAACTCAAGCGCTTTGCTGCCGCTCAAAAGAAGCTCCAGCCACATCCCCCAACACGGAGTTAGGAGGTCTCTTAAATGGGTTCAGAGGGACCCTCTTTTGATAACTCTCTCAAGCTAAAAGCAAACCAGGAGACTCATGAGGGAATTCAAGAACACTCAGCAGACGTGGCTGACTCCTGGCGACTCCTCCCTCTCTCATAACTCCAACTCAGCTGCACGGATGAATTGGAAAATGGAGGTGTACTCACCCATCTCAACAAGTGTGACCACAATATCTGAGAGTGTGGGCTGGGTCCTGGCTGTGTGCTCACAGTAAGACTTGGCACTCCTCCCAATTTCTGAAATGTCTAGGAAAGAATCAAAGCATAAAGTCTTATTCTCAGTTCAAAAAAAGTTAAACATAGAATTGCCATATGAGCCAGCAATTCCACTCCTAGGTATACACCCAAGTGAACTGAAAACAGGGACTCAAACAAATACACCAATGTCCATAGCAGCACTGTCACAATAGCCAAAAGGTGGAAACAACCCAGTGCCCACCAACAGATGAATCGATAAACAAAATGTGGTCTATACATACAATGGAACATTATTCAGCTTTCAAAAGGAATGAAATTCTGATCCATGCTACAACATGGATGAACCTTGAAAATATTATGCTAAGTGAAATAAACCAGACATAGAAAGTCAAATATTTTAAGATTCCACTTACATAAGGAACCTAGAAAAAAGAAAATTCACAGAGACAAAAAGAAGATTAGAGGTTACCAGGGGCTGAGGGGAGCGGGAATGGGAGTTATTATTAATGGATACATAGTTTCTGTTTAGAATGATGAAAAAGTTCTGGAAATGGATAGTGTTGATGGTTGTAGAACATTGTGAATGTATTTAATGCCACTGAATTGTACACTTAAAATGATTAAATTGGTAAATTTTATGTTATGTGTATATTGCCACCAAAACAAAAGTCTTATTCTCTGTTGGGCAAGTTTTTGTTTCTTCTGCCTGAATCTGAACCACTATTTAAGAGTCATGCTAAAGTCCTTCAGAGGAAAGGAGAAGTGTGAAGCTGGGCTCCATGAATGGGCTTCAGAAGTGGACGGGCAGTTCCATGAAAACTCTGAAATTGTGAATTTTCCATACAAAAAAAGCCTTTTTCTGGGGATGGGTCTACAGATTTCATCAGATGAGAAAGAGGTCCAAAAGGTAAGGAACCCCTGCTCTGGGGGCCTAATGGTCCAGAAGGTAAGAGCAAGTGGTGCTTGAGAGGGAAGGTGTCTAGCTGAAGACGCACCACCAGCTCGCCATGCATTAGCAAGTCACTAACACCAGCCTCCACATGTGAGAACGGCAGGCAGCATCTGTTTACTGTGGGGAAAATCTAACTGGAATCCTGGCAGAACATCTTAGAAATAAGCCAGGTGGCAGTTAAAATATATTCACCCATTTGGCTTTTTTCTTACATGCCAGCAGGTCCTAGGGTGTCAAAGGATACACACAGGAAACAGAGACTTTGCTCCAAGCCGGGTCTAAGATTGGGGTCCCTAGAAACAAAGTGATTGTAGTGAACAAGCACATCAGTTCTGCCCGATGCTTACAACTAACGCAAATCCTAAAACTGACATCCAGAACCACTGACAACACGGAGGCGCTCGAGTCGCAGCAAACCCTCAGCTTAAGCCACCCATCCTTGGTACTCCTTTGGCTGAAGAGGCAGGCTTTTATACTATCTCCAGACCTTTTAGTTCTAATACTCACAGCTTTCCAACACAACTAGTTCAGTGCCTTCACGTTCAGCGGCAACCATTTCTTCTGAGGAAAAAAAACACGTCTTCTAGTGGGAGGAGAAAGAACCACCTCGACTATGAGGATCTTTAAACTCGGAATGGCGAGATCTTTTCAAGAACTGAATTCCTATCTGTTGGGAAATATGAGTCCACTCCTTTAGGACAAAAGTTTTCAGCATGTCTAGGAATCCCAGGGTGTCCCTGACATCCTTTCCAAAGTCCACAGGTCAAAAACATTTTCCGAATAAAATTAAGACATTCTTTGACTTTTTCCTTTTCATTCTCGCATGTAGTTTTCCAGAGGCTATATGACTTGTGATGACATCATGGCTCTGCTGGATAATGGAACACATGCTTGTGCATTCTTATGTTCTAAAATATTCTGTTTTATTTTCTAACGTCGCAAATATCTATATAGTATATAAAGCCCATGTATACAAAACTCTTCAGGGTCCTCAATATTTAAGAGTCTAAAGGGGTTCTGAGACCAAAAAGTTCAAGATCGCTGCTTTAGGAAAACATTTGGTATTGAAAAGTTCTAAACATCAGCTGCAGAGAGCCACCTCACCCCAGGTCACACCCTTCCTGGCACACCCACATCTAGTGACTGATCAAGACTGGAGTACAAATGGAGGGCCTGTGTGGCCTGAGGTGGGATACTGATAGCAATAAGCTATGCAGAGCTCCCCAGGGATTTGGGTAATTCTTTGTTTGACCTGCATTGCAGTTCAACTTCTCCCTCTGCCTAAACCTCTCTCACTTCCACTCATAGGTGTTGATCCCTTTAAAAACACCTTAAATACCCCTATCCCTCATCCCATCCTACTAAAAATAAAATAAGGTCCAAACAGGGAAACATGTTGCACATGCAGCAAAACCTAGGTGAGACCATTCCAGGTTCCTAAACCTCAAGACATTTCCTTTTTTTTTTAAAAAAAGTTATTTATTTATTTTGTGAGGAAGATCAGCCCTGAGCTAACATCCATGCCAATCCTCCTCTTTTTGCTGAGGAAGACTGGCCCTGAGCTAACATCCGTGCCGATCTTCCTCCACTTTATGTAGGACGCCGCCACAGCATGGCCTGACAAGCGGTGCGGCGGTCCGCGCCCGGGATCCAAACCCGGGCGGCCAGCAGCGGAGCGCACGCACTTAACCGCTATGCCACAGGGCTGGCCCCAAGACATCTCCTTTTAAAAGTGGTTTTTCCCATTCTATAAAACCTATTCACCCTTACTCTTTGTATCACATAATATAACATTTGATTATATAATGGGTGGCATCTACTTCATGGGAATTAATCTGAACTCGCCAACAAAACTGTAAGTTCTTTGAACATAGAGAGCAAACAGCAATAATAACAGCACCTATAAGTCATCAAGAGCTTACAATGTTCCCAGCATTGAATGTTTTACAGATATATCTTACTCATACTCACAACTCCATTAGGTGTAAATTATTATCCCATTTCACAAATGAGGAAATTGAGGTTCAGGAGGTTTAGTGACTTGCCCAAACTATTAAGTGACAGAGTAATGACTTACACCCAGGTCTATCTGATTCTAAAGCCTCTAAGTCACTTTACTATGGTCTCCTTTTTCTTAAATCCTCTCTAACACTATCACAATGCAGGACACAGAACAGATGCGTGGTTGACTCGAGAAGGCCTAGCTTTCCCGGTACTCACAGCTCTGCAGCATCTCTGTCAATGTTTCCACAGATGCTTTCTCAGCGCTCTCAAACCCTGCCTCTGTCAGCAAAGAGCTCACAACCACTTGCAGGGTTCGCCGCCGAGCCAGATGGTAGTTATCAGCAGGGTTAGTAGATTGTTTACTTCCTGATCTCTGTGAATCAGCAGCCCAAAAAGAGAGAAGATTTTCATTCACAGGACAAGGATACAATCACATAGTTCACATGTCATCAATGGCAAGCAAAGGTTCTTTTGCTAACTACTTATTTATCAGTGCTTAATAAAATGTGGCAGGCTCCGATGTTTAGACTTATAGATCTTGGCTGAGTGATAACTGAGCACCCAAGGGGCTCTAAATACGGAGAATACCTTTCTACCTACCTAAAACTTAAAATTCTAGTAACACAAACTGGTTGTTTTTTACTTTCTATTTCAGCAGAGTATCAGAATACATTACATAGCTAAAGAAACACGCATGATGGGAGTGAATTCATGTCTACTCTCAGAAGGAAAAAAACAAAAACTCTCTCTTGTTCCTCCCATTTCTACACCATCTCACTAACAGGAAAATTAAAATAATAACACAGGATGCTGAGGAGAGGAGGGCAAAGGATAATAGCCAAGTAGGAAAGCTAAATATTTTGAAACAGGAATCCCGCCCAACTTTGGCTAGCCAATAAGAAAGCGAAAACGGCCTCTTCGGACCAATCAGGAGGTGTTCCGGGTTCCCACCACCCAACAGGGAACGAGCCAATCAGTACACAGGTCCACCAACTCAGGAGGCCGCCGCCAAGTCCCGAGGAGGGGGGGCATGTACGGCCTGAAAGACCTTCCTCCACTCGGAGCTCATGGTGGGGCTGGACTTCCGGGTATGAGCTTGTCGCCCAGGCTAGGGGAAAGTTACAGAATGCCCAGACTCTCTCGGCTTCGGCCCCGCGCCTCCCGCCCTTACCGTTCCGGAGCCGCCGGCCCCGGCAGTGGCCGCCGTGTCGGCCATCTTGCTCGGCGTAGTGTGCGCGAGCGCAGGGCAGGATGGGACTTGTAGTCGCGGGGCGGGGAGGGGCGGGGAGGGGCAGGGAGGGGCAAGGAAGGGGCGGGGCAGCGCGAGCCCCTCCGGGCTTTCCGAAGCCCAGATGGGTGGGGGGTGCGTTTGATGACCCCGGCTCACGTGACATTCTGTGAGCGTTGGGTTCAGGGGGCCCCAGTACGCCACGGAATTGGCCAGGAAGATGCGCCCTCGGTTTCACAAGTCTTTCAAGATGAAATCGTTTCTCATAGAGAGCACAGCTCTGGAACGCTCAAACTTGCTTGATTGTTAGCAACACCTGGCTGGGTCCCGTCCGGTCCCAGCGACTGACTCTCTGGGGTGGGGCCTGGGAATCTCTATTGTTAAACTCTCCAGGTGATTCTCCTGTGCGGGAAATTTGGGAAACCTTATTTTGTGCTGACAGCTCCGCAGTTCCCAAGTCCCACTTGGAACCAGAGCCTAACGACCACCTAGTGCAGGTTTTCCTCTGCATCCCGCTGCCTTCTCGCACTCAATTAATCCACAGGCATTTGCGCGGCCAGCCGGGAGGCGCAGGCGGCAGGAGGCTGTCCCTTGCCCGCCTCACTCCCAGGGCGTTGCGTCCACGCGGTGCCTGTAGTTTTCCGTGGCTCACTCGCCCGTCAGCCCCTTTGGATGGGGTTCTTCGTGCGGGGACCTCACCATGTCTCCTTCGTCTCCGTTTGCGGGTGCCTGGCAGGACGCAGACTCTGGGTTTGAATCCTAACACTCGCCAGCCGTGGGACGTCTGGCACATTACCCAACCTTACTGTGCCTCAGTTTCCTCTTTTGTGGAACTGGGGTGGGATTGAAAGCAGGGGAAAACATGAGCTAAAATACACAAAGGATCTGTCACGGTGCCAGACGTATAGTAAGAGGTCAAGAAACAGCGCCTAATGTTGTTGTTGATTTCCTGCCAAGCGCGTGGAGCGCCCAGAAGGCAGAAGTCCGGGAACCTGCGCTGCGCCTGTCCTGCAGCGCGCGCCTGAGCCTGGGAGCGCGCCCGCCCCTCACCCAGGGCACGGGGGGCGGGGTCTGTGGGCGGGGGGCGCGGCGCCGGGTGAGCCGCGGGGCCGCGCCAGGAGGAGTCGGGGCCCAAACCTTAGCTGAGCGGAGCGCCCAGCCCCTTTGTTTCCCCCGCCCCCTCTTCCCCACTTCCTGCCCAGCTTTAAACTCCGGATCGGCGGCGCGGCGCGGACTTTGTAAACACGCCGCGCCCGCGGGGGCGGAGACTGGTTCGGTTTGGGCGTCTGCAGGAGGGGTCCACGCCCCCCCAACCCCCGCGGCTGGAAGTTGCGACCCCCCTCCCCCACCTTCCTAAAGACAGAAGCCAGAGGCGGCAGGAGAAAGTGCGGCCACAGTCGGTGCTCTGGCGGACTCACCTGCCAAGGAGGTAGGCTTGAGGGCTGGAGAAACCAAGATAGAGGGAGTGTCAGCATCTCCCTCTTTCGCTGGGGCCTCCAAGCTCAGGCTGGGTACCCGGGGTAGGGGGTCATCGCGCCTCATCACCTCCCCGTTGTCACCCAAAGCTCGGCTCACTTTCTCTCTGAGTGAGGTGTTCTGCACGTAGCTGAAGGGCAGAGAAGCCCCTCAAAGCCCTGAGCCCTCTATGTCCCCACAGCCTCCCTCCAAGCTGACCTGGAAGCCCAGTGGCTTCACTGGGCTGTCGTCGTTCTTCATACCTCAGATACGGGGGTGGGAGGCAAGTAGGAGGGCAGAACCAGTGTGGGGAGAGACCCTTCAGGTCCTCCTGCCAGCCAGGGCAGAGGGAGGCCAGAGGACAGGACTGGAAGGAGAGACCCCTCACTGTTCGTCCCTCTGGTGTCTGATGGGTACACAAGTGACGGGCTTAGCCTCTTCTGTGTCTTTTGTGTCAGCGAGAGGAATAACGGAAGAAATTGGTTGCTGCTACTAAGGGAGCATTAATGTATTCATTTTCAGACATTAATTGGGCACTTACTATGTGTCTGGGATGGTGTGGGATGCTGAGGGTGCAATGATGTTAGTCATCCACAGTTAGTGTGTGTCATAGACCGACAGAGATAAGGTGCCAAGTTGGAGTGGCTGGGAATGCTTCAGAGAGAAGAGGACGTTTGAGTTGTGTTCTGAATGATGCAAGTCACCAGGCAGAGAAGTGGTGGGAAGTCATTGGGAGCACTTATTCATTCTCCAGAGCTGTACTGATGCCTGACAGTGGTGTGGGGCATTAGGATACAATGAGGACTCAGATGCAGTTCCTGCTCTCTCTAACCCACTGCCTGGGCATGAGGAAGAGGTGGGAATGAACAGGATGAATTCAGGGAAAGGCAGGTTTCTAGCCTGATCCCTAAGAACCCAGAAATTCCCAGTTGGGTGCAGCTGGAAGGGTCCACCTGGGGGTGATGCAACAGTCCACACAATCTTGGGGCACCCACGCCCATCCCTGGACTCTAGGACTGTTTCCTCTAACAAATCCTTGCTCTCTGCCTCCCACTCAGTTCTCTTTGAGACCAGACTTGGGTGAAGAGAACTGGAGCTCCCACTGCTTTCCTGCAGAGTGTTCTGCTCTTTCAGTTTCTGGGCTCCTGGGAGAGGTCACGGGCACAACACCTGTTTGCTGTGGCCATACTCTGTCTGCACAGGCTAGATGTGGGGGATGTAATGGCAAACGAGTCAGAGCTTCTATCCCCCTGGAATTTAGAATCAAAAGCGTTTCTGAGGATTCCAGCAGGATCCCAGTCTATGCCCAGTCGTTGAGACCATGACCTCCATGGTCCCAAGCGCCTTCTCTTTCCTGTTTCCCTCCCTCAAGGGTTCAGAATATTAGCTGACACTTATATATAGCACTGGCAGGTACTATTCTCAATGTTTTAGGTGTAATGTCTCATTTAATCCTCCCAATGGTCCTATGAGGTAAGCACTAGGATTATGTGCATTTTATAGATGAGGAAGCTCAGGCACAGAGGAGATATGTAATTTTCCTAAAGAGGACACCAGAAATAAATGGCAGAGCTGGGATTTAAACCCAAGTCACTTGACTTGGAAGGCCCTGTTCTTAACCAAAGGCTAGCCTGCCTCCTGGACTGACCACATAGAATGTGCACTTGAGCCAGGGGCTTAGGAGTCCCTGAAAGGGAGTCCCTGGTCCTTTATCTTGGGTGATACAGAGGAGAGCAATCTGTTAGCTGAGCGCGGGTGCTGGTACTGTTTGCAGGGAGCCCCAGCAGGCCTGGGGGCCCTAGGGTTATGGTGATTGCACAGAGCTTATATGCTGTCTAATGGCGCGTGTGTGTGTGTGTGTGTGTGTGTGTGTGTGTGTTTCTGAGTGAGCCTCACTGACCAAGAGGAACAAACCAAGGTTTGATGCAAGAACGAACACAGCATGGATGTATTGTGCCAGAATCTGGGGATGTGGGAAACCAAGACACCTCTTTTGTTGGAAATCTTTAAGAATAGCGTGGACCCTTGTATTCTAGATTCCAAAAGGAACAGTCCAACTTGGTAGCTAAGTAAGGAAGATGCCGTGGGAGGAGTGGAAGCAATCTTGAGATGCTCACTTCTCTTCCCCACAGCTGCTGCATCCCAAAGCTGCCTCTGTGCATCTGACCCCATCCCTCCAGGCAGGCTGGGACAATGCCCATGGTGTGAGCCAGGCCACAGGGCAGAGGTTCCATGGGAACCCATTTTTCCATTACCTTTCTGAAACTCGAGGTTTCTCACAAGAGCCCTCTGCACAGATCTGGGGAGGCTCTGGGGCAGTCCCTCTCTGCCAGCAATCAAACCGCCTCGTGCCTCTGTCTTTGAGAGAGGGGTGTGTGTTGGGGGGATGGGTATTGATGCAGGGAGTGGAGGGCAGAGGTGGCCACACTGAGATACAGATAAGCAG